AGAGAGAGAGGAAGGCGGGGAGAGGAAGAGAAAGAAACATTGATGTAAGAGAGAAACATGGATCAGTTGCCCTGACCAGAGACTGACCTGCAAACTAGGTATGTGTCCTGACCAGGAATCAAACCCGAAACCTTTGGTGTACAGGACAATGCTCCACCTGGCCAGGGCTCCTTCCTATATTTTAAATATTCTCTACGATTTTTTTTTTTAAACAGGAACTCTGATATACTCAGTCCCCACTCCCTGGAAACAGCAGTGTAACTTCACCAGCACAACATCCCTCACCTACGGTTAGTCACACGCTCTACTCAGGGATGATCTCCATCACTAGGCAAAATCATCAAATTGGCAAGAACAAGAAAGGGAACTCAGAGTCTATTTCAAAGAGAGCCTGAAAAAAGCTGAAAAATAAGAACAAAGCTAGAAAAGGCAAATACTGCTTGTAACTGATCTTTTTTAATACATCTAATGAAAATGTCTATTTGTCAGAGTAATTTTCCCAGAATGAAATCTTAAAAGTGCTTTTCTAATTGAAATCTGTAAATAGTTCCTTAAGCCCTACAGGATAAATTTCAAACTTCTTAGAATGTATATGGCCTGGCCTTCCCTGTCTTTAATCTCCAGAATGTTCAACTACTCGGTAACATCTACATGGAGTCAAACCTTCATGTCTCTCTCACACTGCTCCACCTACTTGATTTTAAGTTTTCTAATCTTAAATGTGAAGTAAGGACTTTGGGCTTTATTTCAATATCAATGGCATTGTTATTCTTTGTGGCTTCCCTGTCTTCACAACAAACAGGGAGAAATAACAGATCAAATATAGAAGTAAATCCCCAAAATATACCCCAGGACCTGTTAAGCATTCCTGATAGGAATCTAACAGGAACACAAAGTGTGAGCCAAGCTGAAGCCAGGGGGGTTGGCTGGGCTCTGGGCCCAAAAGTAGGAAAAGGCAGCAGGAAGTTGATTCTATAGGGTGACTGTAAATACAAGGGTTCCATGTGAAGTAGGGTTATTAGCCAGGCTCTTTGATTAAAATCAGGTACAGGGTGGCACTTCTAGACTGAAAAAGACTTCTACTTGCACTGAAGCTATAGCTTAGGAAACTGCTGACCTACAGTGACTGAGTCTGTGATATCCCCAACGTCACCATGGGGCTGGGGCTCTGATCCAATAACACAAGACCTAATTCTCATCTGGGGACACCAACGCCAGACAACAGAAAACTGAAAATCTGCTTGGCCATCACAAAAAAAGATAGACAAGAGCAAGAGAGAAAAATAAGAGAAAGAAAAAAATCCCCATCAGAATGTACCTGCAAAATTACAGAACATAAAGAAACCACCAACAATATCAATAACCACAACATAAATTCATGGGAGAGAAAATAAAATAAAAAATAATCCAGTGATCTAAAACAGACTTTAAAATAAGCATGTAAAAGACTCACAATGAGATAGGTATAAAAAAGAACCAAAAAATGTTTAAATAAAAAACAAGCAGAGAAGAGAAAAAAACTAGTGCATATAAAAAACAATTAAAATCTTGCAAATAAAATATAGCCATTATAATTTACAAATGAAAATTTGTACTGGTTCAGAAGATATCATCCCTCTGCTTTCATTCTAACAGGGCTCTGAGTTCTTAGGGGAAGCTGGTTACAAGACATGGATAGGCACTGAGATTCAAAAAGAAAAGATGCATGGTACCTGTTCTCAAAGAACTCACCATCTCAAAGAACTCACCATCTGTAACAGTGATGCTAACAGAACAGTAAGATTACAAAGTAAAATAAAATTTAGTTAAATTTCAAAAATGTAAGCATTTTTTAAGTTAAAAGTCTTGACATTTCTCTCTTAGTTTTCACTAACTCATATCACTACCTTTACTAGAGTTGATACTTTACATTAAATCAGCAATTTTCAACCTTTTCATCTCATGGCACACACAAACTGATTACTAAAATTCTACAGCACACCAAAAAAAAATATTATATTTTTTGCCAATCTGACAAAAAAAAAACAAAAAAAATACAGGTATAATTTTGATTCATTCACATCGGACGGTTATTGTTGTGTTGGCTGTTGTAATTTTTTTACTTGACAATCTAAGAGAAAAGAAGTCAGAACCCCTGATGAAATAGCCAGGTATTACATGTTTTAAAAGTTCTTGTGGCACATTGGTTGAAAATCACTGCATTACACAAACATTCTCACAAAACTGCGTATGAATGGAGCTGAAATAACAAGGGCTATTTCTTTCTTAATCTGTATTTGGACTCATCTAGCAAATATCCTTATTTATTCAAAGTACACCACTGAAAATGTGCACCACTGGAAATATGCACCACTGGAAAGTCTAAAACATCAAAGATTATTTCTTGCAATATTATTCTTAGTAGAAAGCACTCAAAGATTTCACAGTAACAGCTTAGTTTTATTATTAACTGTCATTATTTAAATTGTTGATAAGAAAAGGTACTCTGGTCAATATTAAGGTAAATACAACGTGGGGCAAAACTAGGTTTACCCCTGTTTCTTTTCTTCACATCCTCACCAGCACTTGTAGTTTGTTGATCTGTTGATGGTAGCCATTCTAGCAGGTGTGAGGTGGTACCTCATTGTCATTTTAATTTATATTTCTCTGACAATTAGTGACATTGAGAATTTTTTCATATGTCTCTTGGCTGTTTGTATGTCCTCTTTAGAGAAGTGTCTATCCCTGATGAACATATATGCTAAAATCCTCAACCAAATATTAACAAATTGGATCCAGCAATATATTAAAAAGATCATTCACCATGACCAAGTGGGATTTATTCCAGGGATGCAAATCAATAAAAGTGATATATCACATAAACAAACTGAAAGATAAAAATCATATGATCATTTCAAAAGACATAGAAAAAGCATTCGACAAAACCCAGCACCCATTTTTGATAAAAACTCTCAAAAAAGTTGTAACAGAAGGATCATCCCTTAACATAATAAAGGCCATATATGACAAACCTACAGCCAACATCACACTCAATAGACAAAAACTAAAAATATTTCTCCTAAGAACAGGAACAGGACAGGGATGTCTACTTTCATCTCTCATTCAACATAGTCAAGAAGAAAAAATAAAGGCATCCAAATTGGAAAGGAGGAAGTAAAACTGTCATTATTTACAGATGACATGATATTATATAGAGAGAACCCTAGACTCTACCAAAAAACTACTAGATTTAATAAATGAATTCAGCAAGGTAGCAGGATAAAAAAATTAACATCCAAAAATTGATGGTATTTTTATATACCAATAATGAACTCTCAGAAGGAAAAACGTAAAAAAAAAAAAAAAAATCCCATTTACCATCACAACAACAAAAAGAAGAAGATACTTAGGAATAAACTTAACCAAGCAGATAAAGGACCTGTACTCAGAAAGCTACAGGACACTGAAAAAAGAAAGAGAGGACGATATAAACAAGTGGAAGAATAATATATTGTGTTCATGGACTATAAGAATTAACATCATAAAATATCCATACTACCCAAAGCAATCTACAGATTCAATGCAATCACTATTAAAATACCAATAACATATTTCACAAATCTAGAAAAATCACTCCAAAAATTTATATGGAACCAAAAAAGACCCCAAATAGCTACAGCAATCTTGAAAAAGAAGAACAAAGTTGGAGAGATTACAATACCTGATATCAGGATATACTGCAAGGCCACAATAATCAAAACAGCCTGGTACTGGCACAAGAACAGGCACACAGATCAATAGAACAGAACACAGAACCCAGAAACTGACCCAAGCCTTTATGCTCAATTAACATTTGACAAAGGAGTCAAGAGTATACAATAAAGACAGTCTCTTCAATAAATGGTGTTAGGAAAATTGGACATGTACATGCAAAACAATGAACCAACTTACACCATACACAAGAATAAACTGAAAATGAATAAAAGACTTAAATGTAAGTTAGGAAACCATAAAAATCCTAGAAGAAACCATAGGCAGGAAAATCTCAGACATTTCACGTAGCAGAATTTTCACCAATACATCACCTCAACAAGATAAACAAAGGAAAAAATAAACAAATGGGACTATATCAAACTAAAAAGCTTCTGCACAGCAAAAGAAACCAGCACCAAAATGAAAAGGGAACCCACTGTATGGGAGAACATATTTGCCTGTAATACATCTGATAAGGGCTTAATTTCTAAAATATATAAAGTACTCATACAACTCAACAAAAGGAAGACAAACAATCCAATTAAATAATGGGCTGAGGACCTGAATAGATACTTCTCCAAAAAAAGCTGTACTTTTTAAAAGTACATCAAAGCTATCCTAGGGTTATGACAGGGCAAAATCTTAATTCGTCCCTCACTCTCTAAAAGTAAACAGTTAACACAAAATAGTAAAACACAGTTCTTGTGTTCACAAGAAGTGGATAGAATGACAGAAAACATTACATATACAACTGAAAAGATAAAATCTGTATCAAAGTTGGTTAGTCTATAGAATAGACTTGGTTCCTTGTTTCATCAAAGATGTTGATAAAGAGAACTTTCTTATTCTTAAAAAAAATTTTTTTTGGTTAAACATAATATTAACCCATGTTATTCAATGATCAAATTTCACACAATAAAACTACTGCTGATTAAGGTACTACAATTTTCCCTCCTCATATTTCTAATGAGTCATTTTTCAATAGCTAATCAATAGAACATTTTAGATAACAGAACTATAAATCAGCCAAGAGCTAATGACACAGATTTCCTTACCACATTTAACTTCCTAGATAAATCAAACATCAAAAAGTATCTCCTTGTTTAAATACAGACAAGCTCACATTACTGGGCAGAAACAGATTAGCCGATCTCTTGGATGAAGTGACATAATTCCAATGTGTACAGTAACAATTTTTTTTCTATTTTTAAGTACAACCCTGCAAATATTCCTGAGACCTCTGAAATGAAATAAAGAAGGACACTTACTCATGACTGGAAATGTCTCTGTATGTTGTCCCAATCAGATATTAAATCAAAATCTGCTGTCCAAAGTTTCTTGGAGGAATACATGTCCTAGTCAAAAAACAAATAGAAATAAATTATATTTTATAAAGGTATTTAAAATAAGTTTTCTAAAAGGAGATGAAAATAATTTAGTTTAAAATTTTCTATTTCCAAAAGAAGCCCTTGGTGTCACCTAAATATAAAAAAAAATTACCAATCAATCTTTAGAACATCATGATTGCATTCAATTTTCTTTTTTCTATAAGTTAGCTCAAAAGTAAATAAAATGTATAAAGTAATTACCACACAGAAACTTATTAAGGTGTCCTTTGTCTTACTATTAAACACAGTATTAATTCATGTTACTAAAAATGTATTTTCTCGGCTGCTCTCTCCTCTGCGTAGGATGGGACAGTCGCCCTGCAGCTAATAAAGCTCTCTTAATTTGAACCCCCCCAAAAAAAAATAAATAAAAATAAAAATGTATTTTCTCCACCATTATCAAACATAGAAAGAAAGTGATCCAGCTAGAGTAAATATAGCACATCACACCTGCTAAATTTATTTTGATTGCATATAAATGATTTATATACAATCAACAAAGTTATTGCTATAAATTGTCTCTAAACTTGGGCATTTTCCTCATAATAAAAGTACTATGGTTTCATTGATCTAAAAATATTATAAACAATAGCAAAGTAGAAAAAAAAAAAATCTATCACAATGCAATGCTACTACATCGACCCAATCATTTGGGGCATTATTTCTTTTCAAGGCATTTTTTTTTTTTTAATCCTCACCAGAGGATATTTTTTCCACTGATTTTTTTAGAGAGTGGAAAGAAGAGAGGATGGGAGAGGGAGAGGGAGAGGGAGAAACACCAATGTGAAAGATACACATAGATTGATTGCCTCACTTACGTACCCTGACCGGGCTGGGGATCAAACCTGCAACCCAGGTACGTGACCTTGACTGGGAATAGAACCCATGACCCTTCAGTGTGTGGATCGATGCTCGAACCACTGAACTACATCGGCCAGCGCATCACAGCAATTTTTGTAAATTCTTCTTAAGTGTAATTTATAAACACTACGTATAAAATTTTGTATTTGATTCTTTTTGCTTGAGTATACCAAAGCATCACTCTGTATTAGTATAAATATACTTAACCCTTTGCTAAAATTAACATTATAAATTTTCTTTCCTAATTAACGTAGTTTTAAATGAGGCATAAATGAATACTAATGCTATATTTAAATATACCAATTGATGCATAAATACCTCCCCAAATCTACTATATGAAATTCTACACATAAGATCAAGTTAGATACAAAATTTACACTTGTGTTACCTAAACTGATGAGCTAATTCTTGCAATCACAAGGAATGATGGTTACTTTATTTGCTAAATCAATTAAGCAAAGAGCATAATGCTAAGGACCTCTGCTTCTGAAACAGATTAAAGTTAGGATAACTTTTTTTTTAAGAAATAATGCTTGCCCCATCTATATACTTCGCTCATGAGAAATATAAATTTACAAACTGACAATTCTGTATGCACAGTTTGGCTCATATACTGTAATTAGTAGTGGCATATAATCATAGTATTGCCATATAATCACCTGACCCCCATCCCAAGTATGCAGTAGACACTGCTAAATGATTTTCATCTCCAGATAATCTGATTATCCCAAAGGCAATGAGAAGTTATATGGAAAATCTAAAACATATAATCTACATATTAGCTTTAGACTACATGATGAAAGTTTCTCACTATCAATACTCTTTCTGGATGGTGTTTCAATGAGTCTATTATATTTGTTTGCCTCCCCCAGGAACCACGAGGTTAAGCACGCTGGCCTCTGAGCATGCTGAATGACATGGGAAGGCAATCCCATGTTACAAAGTCACAAAGTACATGAAATGCTCACAGACCAGGAGTTCATTTACTTACATTTGTACAGTCTAATCTCTTTGCCCAGGAATTTTTCTTTTCATTCATGTTTAGATCAGATTTTTTAATCTTCAATTTAAAATTCCACAATGACAACATCAAAGCACTTTGTACTAAGCAGTGCGCCCCTCCTGCCAATAATCATAAATTGCCAAATAAATATGTATTCCCGGGCTGAAGTTCCTAAGATATCAGAGAGTTTTTTCAGCACTAAAAATAGTAAACTCAAAAATACCTGGGTAATAAAACCTATAAACACTGGATTTATAACCTTACCATCTGAGGTGATTAATATACTTTACAAATACAAGACAATGCATAAGTTCGAATTAATATAAAATGTCATGGAGTAATATTTAGAAACATTTTTTTTAAATGTTTATAACTGAAGTCACTTGTTTAAGATTCTTTATGCTAACCACAGCTTTGAAATGTAGATTCTTCCATCTACTTTCAAAGTAGGTAGTCTAGCAATTCTTCTAAGCAACTAGGCAGTTCAGTGACACATAAGAAAATTTTCACATTCCTTTTCTGCCCCTAAATGCTATCCCCTCCCACTGGACAAACAAGGAAGGAAAAAGTAATCTTACTTGCTCTTTATCACACCATCCAAAAGGGAAAATCTAATCTATTTTAAATCCACGATTGCACCTAAAAAGTATATTGGGGTATTTCTGCAAAATCTGGCCTTTAAACTCATTTTCCATTGCTGTTTATTCTCCTCATAGTCTTATTTTCTTATAACTCTAATATGGGGGCTTTCAAGTAACTCCTCCAACTTTTGTGACAAAATCTGACATGCACGAACGGGGCTGCATGCAGCAGGCCTAAGGATAACCCGAGCTGACAGGAAACTCAGGGTCTAGTTAAAAGGAAAACAAGCTCTGCTACAGCCTTCTCATTACTGCAGCAGTAAACAGCTTAAAAGTAATTTCGGCCACTTTTAGACAGTTAAGACCTCTGGAAGTATCTAAAAGAACTTCTGATTTTTATAACACCTAATAATCTATTCTAGAATTAGCTCAGCAGACCCAATTTTAATTACTTTAAAACTGAAATTTAATAGAATTATAAACCGAAACATATGGTACCATATTCTATTGTTTCTAATAATATTCTTTAAGGGGACCAAATCAACATTAACTTATTTCATGGTATAGTAACTTCTCCTCTGGGAAAAAATACACAAGAACCCCAATCTCCACTAACAGCTCATGTGGTCTCCGTTTTTTTTACTCTCACCATAAACTATAATTTTTAAAAGTCAAATTTAATCATGAAGACATGAAATAAGTCCATCACAACAGGACACATACTCTGTGATTCCAACATATGCAGTGCCTAGAGAAGCTGAATTCATACAACAGGTGGTAGCATGGTGGCTGCCAGAGGTTTGGGGAAGGGGAATAGGGAGTTAGTGTTTAGTGGGTTCAGAGTTTCAGTTTGGGAAGATGAAAAAAGTTCTGGAGATGGATGGTGATGGTTGTAAATCAAAGTAAATGTACTTAATGCCAGTGACCTATACACTTAAAATGGTTAAAATGGTAAATCTTATTAATATGTTACCACAGTAAAAAATACAAATTTTTTCTAAAAAATCAAATTTACCCAGTATTCCAAAAGTAACAGAAATTGATTATAATTTCTATATTTTTATTAATATTTTTATCTTTTAACATGCTTAAATTCTTTCTAGAATAAGAAGATAAAATAATTCTTTCTCATCATTTTTAACTTCATAATCAATTTCTACTTGAAGAACTCCTAGCACTCTACTATGAACTTTTCACATTTTATCATTTAAGATAAGAACATCTCCAAGTAAAACTAAAGCTATCAGAGATATCTGTTTCCAAGATTCTTGTGCCCAAATGGCTTGTGAAATCTCTTGTTACATGCCACCTAAAAATACTTGATAAAATACAAGAATTATCCTTTTAAATGCATAGCAAAGCTCACAAAAAACTCAAACACAAAAATAAAAGTAAAAAAATAAATAGGAACACAGAATGGGGTAAGTTGGCAATGATGCCAGCAACTGCCCTTAGAAACATTTGACAATCTCTCATAACCAAGCTGCACTGTTCAAAACTGTAGCCACCAACCACATGCAGCTATTTAATTTTAAACTTTAAATTCAGTTTCTTTCTTGCACTAGTCACATTCCAAATGTGACTAATGGCTGCTGTATTAGCACAGATATATAATATTTCCAGTATTACAGAAAGGTCTATTGAACAATGCTGAAGAGCTTTCAGTATTAACAGTTTGATTAGGACAAAGCCAAACCTTTATGTTATACAACATGGAAAAAGTCAGACTATGGATAAGCACATAAAGCCTAGCACCTGAAGGGCTATATCTTCAATAAAAAGAATAAACTATGAAAAAATAAATAACCTAAAGGAAAGATATAAAGAAAATTCTCCCAAATGTAGGTTTATTTGTGTTTGGGGAGGGGAAAGGGAGTATTCTCTGGAAATCTGTAACCAAACCAACCTTTCACACAGGCTTCAAGTTCAAATTCAAACTACTTATATGTACAGAAAATCTTAAGCCTAAAAATGAAATGGCCCTAGGTGGACAATGTGCACAGTTGCAAATTCCCTCTGGGAGAAAGCAGTGCTAACTCAGGTCTCATAAGATTTTCCACAGATAAAGGAATAATAAAAATGAGCTCAAAAAGTATGCATAATAAGCAAGATTCAACAGAAATAGATTAATCAAAAAAAATTTTTAAAGAACAGCAATGGCCCTTGCCCATTTGGCTCAGCGGTTAGAGCGTCGGCCTGCGGACCAGAGAGTCCTGGGTTCAGTTCCCGCTAAGGGCACACACCTCAGATGCAGCTTGTCCCTGGTCCCGGTTGGGGTCATGTGGGTGGCAACCACTAGATGTCTCTCTCTCAAGTCGATGCTTCTCTCTCTCTTCCTTCCTCTCTTCCTCCCACTCTATCTGAAGATAAATGCAAAAATGTCCTCGAGTGAGGATAAAAAAAAAGAACAGCAATGTTTCAAAATACAATATAAAATGTAAACTATGAACAAAAAAGAAGGCAACAGATTTGGGGGAAAAAAATCAAGTGCAAAATAGAATAGCCCTAGCCGGTTTGGTTCAGCGGTTAGAGCATCGGCCCGTGGACCGGAGAGTCCCTGGTTCGGTTCCCACTAGGGGCACGTACCTTGGTTGCAGTTTGTCCCTGGCCCCTGTTGGGGTTGTGTGGGTGGCAGCCATTCGATGTGTCTCTCTCACATCGATGTTTCTCTCTCTCTTCCTCCCTCTCTCCCTCCCACTCCATCTAAAGATAAATACAAAAATGTCCTCAAGTGAGGACCAAAAAAAAGAAAAATAGGATAACTAAAATTAAACTCGAATGGACAAGTTCAGCAAACTAGATACTGCTAAAGAGGAAATTAATGAACTAGATCATATAGTTGAAATTATTTAGAATGCAACAAAGGAAAACTATAAAGAAAGATTGAGAGACATTAAAAATAAATTAAAACATCTAATAGGTATATCTAATTGAAGTTTTAGAATAAGAACACAACAAATGAGGGAAACAAAATGCAAAAGAAAAGAGTTGAGAATTTTCCTAAACTAAAGAAAGATAGTAATATACAGATTCAAGTTCAGCAAATTCCAAGTATAAATAAAAAGGAAATAGACAGAGACATCATAGTGAAACTGCGAAATATCAATAACGAAGAATTCTTAATAGCAACCAGAAACAAAAGGCACATTGCTTACAAAGGAACAATTACACTTAATAACTGATTTACTGCAACCAGGGAAGCCAGGAAATATTAGAACAGCATCTTCAAAGTTCTAATAGAAAATAACTGCTAAGCTATAATTAAGTACCCAACTAAGCTAAACCATTTTTTCAAGAAAAGGACAAAATAAAGAAAATTTCAGAAACAACTGAGGGAATATACTGCAAACAGATCCTCATTAATGATGCTTCTAAAACTGTAGCTCACAAAGTTGGAAAATGATGCCAAAATGAAGATCTGAAACATGGGAAAGGGTGGTAAGAAAAGAAAATTGTAAGAAAGTCCAAGATAGTGGAGTAGGTAAGCTGCACTCACCTCCTTTCATGACCACATCAAAATTACAATTAAATTATAGGACAATCAACCTGGATAATCATCTGAAGGATAGCTGAACAGAAGTCATATAACAAAGGATATAAAAAGCAGCAGCTACATCAAGACTGGTGGAAGATATGAAACGGGCTGGGCCCACACTTACATGGGGCAATTGAAAATCTAGAGGGATATCTCAGCTGCAGAAGTAACCCTGAGGAGCAAGATCTCAGTCCCACACTGGGCTCCCCAGCCCAGAGCTGGAGGGAGAAGTCCACATAGTATCTGGTGGTGAAATATCAGCAGGGACTAGGGGAAGACAGAAGGCTGCTGGAAATCCAGGTATCCTCTTAAAGGACCAATGCACAAACTCTCACCACAAGCACTCACCCTGGGCTCTGACAAAAGGATGATGGCTCAAGGGATGCCAGAGTCATACAAGGAGAGACTGAGTTGCATGGCTTCAAGGTGAGGGCTGGCACGACAACAGCCAAGATTCTGGTGTTGAGTCTCCTTGCCACATGGCTCACAGACACCAAGTTTCCTGGGTTAAGCACTTCCCGTAGCATTAGCCTGGGGAGCTCCACTAGCTCTACTATGAGGACTACCGGAGACCCTGCCTGAACCAGTTCATGCACAGCAGGGGACTCCATCCAAGGCAAGCAGCCTGGGCCTGTATTGCAGTCATTCTTATAAAACTCTTGTGGAATTCCGGTCAAGTATGAAAGATATCAGAGACACACAGGGAGTAACTGAGTTATCCAGTTGTAGGGTAAGGGCTATCTTCTGAGCTGGCCAACAGGAACCACCTCTCCTGTGTTAAAACCTACCCCCACAAGGCCAAATCCTAATCTGCGTTACCCTGATGAACTCCACTAGATCCACCCTGACAACTCCCTCACACCCCACTCCACTGCAAAAGTCCTCAGCCCCCCGACGATGGCAGTTGGCCTTGGCAAACACTAAGACTTTTGCCAAGTGGCCTTAGACCCAGCACTGGTGACAAGTTTAAAACTATACCAACCTGGTGAACACCACACATATCTACCCGATGACCCTGAGAACCTGCTTTATGTAACTCGCATACTGCCCAAAGTCCTTTCAGTGGCTTAGTCTAACAGACAAAACAGGTGGCGGCAGGTCTCAGAATACCTTGGGCCTATTGCTGACCTTCTGCAGGCCCAATACTGATGGATGCCGGCCTCAATTTGCAGCTTGGCCCCTCCCACAAGAACCCAGGCTCAGCAGAGGCAGCTACCAACCATGGATCACTTTGTACCTAACAGATAGCTTAGGGCCAGGCACAGACCTACGCAGAGTCCACCTGAAGAGGCCCCAGAAACAACACAACCAGGGCTGACTTCAGACCACAAAAGAGCACCACCAGATTACCTACACAAGCAGCACATCCAAAGGAGGTCAGAGCAGGCTGGGGCAAATTCCACTCTGTGGGGTCAGCTTCCACACAACTGCTTGTACACTGTGGTCATGGCCAATTTTCACAGCCAGCCGAAGGTCAACCTCACCCACTAACATGTCAACAGCAATCAAGGATCAATTACAAC